ACAGGACAGACCCCACGTCCCCTGAGGACCTCGCTCCCCTGCCTCCCACGGCTCTCCTGAGCCTGACTCGGGAGCAAACCCCAGCTTTGCAGCAGAGCTGAGCTGGGGCTGCGGGCAGGTCGACCAATGAACAGCCTAGTCCGGCCACCCCAGCTGCAGGGGCCCAGTCTGGGGACCACAGACACCCCGCAAAGGCTGCCCGGGCTCCTGCCTTTCGAGCACTCACAGCACTGGCCCTCCCACTCGCTGCCTCAGCCTGCTGCCCAGCGCCCTACACGAGACCTGCCCTTGGTTGTCTTACGTCCATCACTCAGCGCCCGGGTCAGCACCCACCTCCTTTCAGCTCTGAGGTCAATGTGACTGCCTTCACGCGCTCAGAGAACTTGCTTCAAAAATAACCCTTTCTCCCCAAATAAAATGTCTGAATCTAGAAAGCAAGGAACAAGTGTCTCGGCAGAACCTATGTTCTGAGAGAACGTGTCCCCTGCTCCAGAGTGGTCCTGCTCTGCCCTGGGCTGTAGGTTTCCAGCTGTCATTCAAATAAAGGGTTCCTGGCCTTTAAAAAAGGGGTGGAGGAGGCTTTGAAAACTGCATGTTGAAGACACTGCTACCATCTGAGAGAGAAAGACAACTGAGCTACCGTTGTTCAGCCTTCATCTAACTTTCCAAAGGGCCGGGCAGTGCGGGGGTGTAGCACAGGCATTCCCTGGGTCCCGGCACGCTGGGTCTGGCCCTAACAGCCCCTCACTGTACCCCCGTCTGTTTCTCCAAATGGGGGGACTCCTGACACCAGAACACCCTCACCAGGTAAAGGGGGAAGGCGGGGGCTTGCACTTTTCTCGAGGGGACAGGCTCTGGGAGCTGCCACCCTGCTCTGCTGCCTGCTTTGCCGCCCATCTCCACTGAGCTCGGGCTCAGTGGTAGCATGGTCTGTGAGGGAGGGAAAGGGGCCTGGTGCCCTGAAGGCAGTGATGGGGCTCGGCTCTGCAGGCCTTGAAGGGAAAGGGTGCCTGCCAGACGTTTCGAGTAGAATCCACCCCCACTTCAAGATGTGTGGAGGACAGCAGGAGGGTGAGGTACAGCAGACCCCCTGTGCTCCCTTTGCAGGCAGGGCCAGTGACCAGGCCAGGAGGAAAGCCCCCCATCCTGCTGCCCCGATGGGGGATAGAGTAGAATCCAAGAAAGGCAGGAAGAACCCAAAATCACCCAGTCCAGCCACCTCATGCGACAGATGGGGAAGCTGAGGCCCGGGACAGGGAGTGAGTCACACATGGAGGTTGGCTGTCAGTCTGTGCATCCTGAGTGCAGGACGACTGCAGCCCTCCCTTCCCCCTGCTCCCCTGCTCCCTGGAGCCCAGCATCTTCCCTTATCCCGTGGCCGCACAGCACATGGGACCATCTTCTGGAAGGGGAACACTGGTGGCCAGGCGAAGGGAAGGAAGCCACCCTGCTCTGGGCCTCAGCCTCCCAGCTGGGCCGAGTAGACAAAAAGCCACCTGCCGGGCTGCTCGAAGCAGCGGGAGAACTCAGGTGTGCACGCTGAACTGGGATGGGAGTGTGGCAGCTACAAAGTCTGTTTCATCAGGTCTTACACAAACACGCACATGCACACAGACTCAACCTCCTTTTCTGGAACTGGGGCACCCTTAAGAAGACGCCTCCAATACAGCCTTCATTCAGCCGTTTCTGGAGAACTCACAGTGTGCAGAGTACAGCTCAGTGAGTCCTAGAAGTGCAAATATCAGGAGAGGCACAGCTCCCCAGAGATAAACAGGCTGGCAGGTGAAAGACGTGCGTGTAAGAGCTGCCCTGGCGCCACGGGAAGGGCAGTACAGTGAGGAGTGGCCGCGGAGCCCCAGTCTCCATGAGGCCTTGGACAAGTCATTTCACCTCCCTGCATTTCATGTCATGTCATTAAACCCAAACATGAGAATTAAGGATACCTTCTACCTGCCTGAAAACAGCTGATCAAAGGACCTCAAAGTGCTTTCTGTTCTCAAATCCAAGAGGCTCATTTGGTTCAATAAAGGAATAAAGCCAAGGACTCTGGGCCCAGAAGCCCCCAGGAGCCAGCCTCCTACCCGGGGAGACCAGAGTCTCACGGTGCCCTTTCACATGCTTATGGAGCTCTTTCTGCCGGTCTCCCAGGCTGCCCCACTCCTGATCAGAGTCACACGGCCGCATCTTCTGTGGTCGGGGACACGTGGAAGTGTAAGTTCCCCACCAGCATGAGTCACAGCCATTTCAGAGAATGGTAAAACCAGCTTGTCTCCTCTCCCCGCCCCCAAACCAGAGGGCATTGCTGGCCAGACCACCAGGCAAACACAACCTCATCTCCAGCACACCTGCTTCAGAGGAGAGCAGGGACCCGTGGCTAGAAGGATTCAGGATCGGCACTCCCGGGTTCTCGTCCCCTCTCCCAGGTTCCCATGCAGTTTCTGTGATTTCCCCAACCCGAGCCAGGCCTCACCCTCTGAGGTCACTCTGGAGCGGCAAGCACGACCAAAACCCTCCCTACCAAGCCCATGCCCTCTGCCCCACAGCCCTTTCCGCTGTGTCACACTTCTCTTCTGAGATTCGTCAAGCCCTTTGAAGTCAACTGGTGACTGGCATTAAGAGCCAAGAGGCCCAGGGGGTGCCTGGGTGGTGGGGTCAGATAAGCGTCTGACTCTCGGTTTCGGCTCAGGTCGTGATCTCAGGGTTGTGAGACCCGGCCCCCCATCAGGCTCCGCATTCAGCGCGGAGTCTGCTTGGAATTCTCTCTCCCTCTGCCCCACCCACCCCCAAGCTCTTTCTCTCTAAAACAAAAAGAGCCAAGAGGTCAAGTTTTAGCAGACATGGTGCTCCCTCCACTATGAGTCTGAGGGCCCTGCTGAAGCCAAGCAAGCCCCCTATGGCCCACCAAGTTCCTGTACTTTGGGGGCCTCCCCCTTGCTGCCGCCATGAGAGAGGTACCAGAGCCATTCCTACTACAGGGTCCTTTAAAATGGGGGAAACTTGCTCTGGATGCCAGAAGACCTCTCTGGTCAGACCCCAAACAGACCCTGGCTGGCAGTGGACGCTGGACACCACAGAGCCCCCAAGGGAAGAATCCTGAACCAAGACCCAGGGGCAATGGAGGATGAATAACAAAGCATTTGCACCATGACTGGACAGAGTGTAACGGATTTGAATCACAGCCCTACCACATAATAGAGATACTGGCCTAGCCAATTACTGAGCCAGACTTTTTTCCTTCATCTGGGAACACAGCCCAGAAGTGAGGAAGTGAGTGGTCCGGAAAACTTCCCAGGGAACCAATGCACTCTGGGAATGCTATGTCCGCTGTGGAGCGTTCTAGAGCAAACCCGCTCCCATTATTCAGGACTCAGAGGTAAGGTTCTGTTGTTCTGGCTTTGGTGTCTGTAAGGCCCTCCACCCGACATTTACTGGCATGTGACCTCTTGACCTGCCTATTAGTGCCCTGCGACCCAGGTGCCTTGTTTACCAGCCCCCGAGTGCCCGCCACACTGGGTCAGTCCTAGCTGCCAGGAAGTGGAGCCAGAGAAAGTTGAAAGCCAGCACCTAAGAGTCGTCAGAACAAGGAAATAGTTCAAAAAATATCCTGCCCCAGGGCATAGAAAATTTATTGCATATTACTAGAAGTCATAAAATAAGAAATTCAGGAGTGCCTCCCCGGAGATACCTGAGGTATATTGGAAACATTCCTCGAAACGCAGCTTTACTAGAAGTTGACTTGATACCTCTCCTGCTATTCGAATCCTGCATGTTTGGGGGGTAGTTGTGAGGATGAAGTGAACTAAAGGTGTGGAAAAGCACTCGGCGTGTATTACTGGCTTTGGCACATGTTATTATCACTAAAACAAACATAAAGGCTGAGGGCTGACAATCAGACTGGGTTGTGAACCAAAGACTGATTAGCCCGATTCTGGCAACTGAGACTCCCCTGAAACCTCCTCCAGAAAGCGCTTTGCAAAATGTTCAACACGTGCTAAGTATGAATCATCAGACTCTTGTCCCTTCCTTCCTTCTCTCACTGTGCCATCGTTCCATCTCTGAGTCTGGCCTCTGATCGGTGCAAGGTGTAGCCTGGAGGATGAAGATCTGGTCTGCACAGATTAAGGATGAACAACTTCCAGTCCTGTAATGCGCTGTCAGAGACCTGGCACTGAGGGATGGACCGAAAACCATTTCAGAGCTATTTTCTACCAGGAGATGACACCTCTACCTTCGGAGAGAAGGGAAAATCTCGTCTTGACAGTTCTTGTCACATAGGCTAGGGACAGACGAAGTCCAGTCTGAGCCTGAAGCACACGTAACCGAAAGTCCTCTCTAACCCAGACCCCCTCCCAGCAGCTGCAGGAAGGACTTCTTGGCGAATTGCAGAAAAGAGCAAGCAGGCCCTCAAACGCATCCTGACTGAAATCAGAGTTCGGGCCTGGAAGAGTTTAGGGGATCCTCACAGTCGGTGGAAGACAGCTCCACAGGAGGAAGGCAAGGGCCTAGGTTGGGGAGGAAAGTAACCTCCCAAGATGACAGCAACAGGTCTCAGCACGGAAAAGGGGGTGACGGTCTTCCTAAGGGGTCAGTGCTGGGGGCGGGGTGGATGGGCTGAAGGGCAGGCCCAAGAGAGGAAGGCCGGGGAGGGTCTCTGGAGTGAGGACGTCCGTGGTCCATGCTGCCCCCTCCCCATAGACCGGGCTCCCCCAGACGTCGGCGCTGGCGGGAACCTCGGAAATCTGGCGGCTAAGTCCGCACACCGGCAAACTGCGGCCAAGAGAGAAGGTCCTTTATCGTTGACCTCACACAGCGGCGGCCTCGAGCATCGCGGTGGTCATCACCACTCCACGAAGGCTGCGCCTCCCCAATTCCAAGACATCCTCCGAGACAACCGCGCTAACCCGTGCGCGGGCCGGGCTTGAGCGCGAGAGCGCAGCGTCCGCGTCGCGGTAGCCCCAGCAGGCGGCAGCCCTGCCCCGAGTGGGACCCGCCCCGCGTCCTGGAGCCCGCTCCTCATTGGCCAATCCTGGAAGCTCCGCCCCAGCACGCGCCCCCGAGGCCCGGAAGAGGCCCCGCCCCCGCAGGGGACTCCCAGGGTGGGCGGGGCTAGCTGCTGATGGGGCGTGGCAAGGGGGTAGCTCCCGCGCTCGGTTACAGCCTGGGGGCCCCTGGCCTGTGCGGGGCAGTGGGGCCAGCCTGGAGGTCAGACTGTCCAGAAGGGCTGACTCCCGGAGCGCAAGCAACGGACCATGCGCACTCACTCAATTCAACATATTTATTGAGCACCGATGAAGGCAAAGGGCCGCTACCCTCACAGTTCCTAAGGGCCTTTAGCACCAGGACCCCACCCCTCCTCGTTTCCAAACAAAGAAGCCAAGACACAGAGCTAGGAGCCAGTCGAAGGCCAAACGGGTTTCTAGCTGCCAGCTTCTGGAGCACCACTCTGCTCCCACACCACGCTGCACGCATCGGCTCCTTTTGGTGTGAAGAATGTTCTCTGAAAACCTATCGAGTGCCAGGCAAGCTCACAAGGCCCAGCCAGGAACCAGCACCCTGAGTGCTTTGGAAGAAATGAGAGGGCCTGTGTCCAGCGATCACCCCTGGTTTGTACTATTGCTAGAGTACCCGTGTTTACACAGGGCATTTAGCCTTAGAAAGGTCTAGGACTTTCGACCCTTGAGGCATCCCGAGGGAACACCCGAGACTAGCTCTTACAGGGAAGAGGAAGGCTCAGAGCAGCTCCATTTGCACCATATCCTGTCTGAACACTTGGTGACAGCCCAGCCCTGACTTGTGGTGCCCCTGGTGAGGGTTGGGGATGCCAGAGGAAACGAGCAGAATGCACAGCTGGGGAGGGTGGAAGCCCTTCCTCCCAAGCCCAGGGGAGCTTGGCTGGGCTCTCACTGACTTGCATACTCACTCTTGCCCCAGAGATGATGGCAACGTTCCCATCTGCCCCCAACTCTGTTCAGGACTTTGGGAGAGGGGAGAGGGTCAGAGGGATAAGAAGAAGTGGCACAGCCAGGGACCCAGACGCCTGGAAGCAGGTCTGAATGCTGGCCACTTCACATAGTGCCAAAGCCAATAAGACAACAATCAAAATAGCTGAGGACGCAGTACTCCAGTTTCAAATCGCCCAAACCAAGGGTTGCTCTCTAGGCAGCACCCAAAGTGGTGTGACCGAAGAGGCACAGATGCTAGCTGCCACCAAGACTTCTCCAGGAGGCCTGACGCTATTGCCCGAACTCCTACGGTCCGAACCTCGTGCTTTGGTAAGAATTTGTTCCACTGAAATACAAAGGGCTCCTTGTCGATATAGCCCAACGGGAAAGTCTCACCTCGCTCTGCACCCGAGACCTTCCACTCACCCTAGGAAATAAAGGTCTTTCCTGAGGGATTCTGACAGGGACAAAGAGCTGGAGAACATGGAAGAGAAGGGGGGCCCTGAACTTGAAGAGGATACAACCAGGCTTCCTATCTGCCCCACTGCCTCTTAATCTTTTGTGACCCTGAAAGCGCTAAGGTGAGGTAGGATGCACCGGGGTCATTACCCCCTCTGACAGGTGAGGAACAGGACACAAGAGGTGGTTAAAGAAACCCATCCCCGTCTCTTGGCCTATCTCTGCTACCAGCCCCAAGTTCTTGGAACACACCGCTCCTTTAACAGGACAGCTCAGGCGGTGGCAGCCCAGGAGTCCAGCCTGGCTTCCCAGCCTCACCCACATCAGGAGCTTCCTCTCTGGGAAGAGCTTCCTGGGCTGGGTCTGCATCTCCCCCACCCCCTAAGTCCATGGAGCGTGCATACCCATAATACTGAGACCTTGGGGGAAGGGTCCGCCACTCCAGGCCTGTTTCCCCTCTCAACTAATAACCAAAATCAATCACGGATGTTGGGATACTGGGAAGCACTCTGGGCCAAAGAAGCACACCCAGGAAGGCACCCCGTGTCAGAGCAGCAGCCAAGCCCCCACCAATACCTGGGCTGATCTGAACAGCCCCTCCACCATCCCTACACACAAGGAGGTAGCAGAATAATTCCTGCCCCTCAGGGCTCCTGGTCCCCTTTGCAACCACACGTAACCCTTAAAAAAACACTAAAAAAACTCCATAAGGAAGGGAAAAAAAGGTTTCAAAATAACACAGTAGGAAAACTCAAATTTCCAGCTCCTACTCTTCAAACTGTCCACTCTGCTGTGACCTCTGTGTACATTACGAACGGCAGGCCCTCCGTGTCTCCGTCGCCCGCTACTGGAAGGGCCACTATCTCCAGTGCCGGTCTCAGATACCCGCCACAGTCTCTCACCAAAAGTTGGCATCCTCTAAGCCTGAAGGGATCCTTTCTAAGTCAGGAATGTAGAAAAGGCAGCAAAGAGTGATGAACTTAGGAAACAGGAATTTGAGGCTTCTGGTCATACACACACTGTCACCAAAAAGGCCACTGCTTCCCATCTGAATGAAAAAAAGCTCTCTCCAAAGCTATTCCAGAACGAGGAACCAGCGCCAGGCACCGGGGAAAAGCCCGAAGGCGGACAGGAGTCCTGCTGTGGGGTGACCCCGGAGAGAGCCGGAGGGTACCCCTGCAGGCTCCTGGCCGCTTAGCCCTCCTCGCTGTGGCTGGGCCGGGGCCGCGGGGGGCTCCGGGGGAGGGCCGGGGAAGTGGGGCAGTGCGGGCCCGCCTGGCCTCGGGCGTGAGTCTGCATGTGGACCGCCAGGTGGTGGTTCCGGTTGAAGGCGCGGCCGCACTGGGGGCACTGGTAGGGCCGCTCGCCCGTGTGGATGCGCTGGTGGCGGAAGAGGTCGGAGGGCCGGCGGAAGGCCTTGCCGCAGTAGGGACAGGCCGGCCAGCCCTGGCTGGTGCCCGTGTGCAGGCGCTGGTGCAGCAGCAGACTCTTCCGCTGCTGGAAGAAGCGCAGGCACTCGCTGCAGTGGTACACCTTGCCGGCCGCTGGCCGCCGCACCAGGAGGGAGCGGCCGGCCAGGGAGCGGCGGCCTCCGGGCTCCTCGGGGAGCCAGCGGATGACCGGGCCGGGCACCACCACCTCCCCCGGCTCCAGAGTGGAAGGGGCCTCCCCCCAGCCAGTGGGCGAGCTCCCCGGAGTCTCCCTGGGCTCCTCCTCCACGTGGGTCCGCTGGTGAATGGTCAGGTTAATCTTCAAGCGGAAACTCTGCCCACAGTCAGGGCAGGGAAAGGTCCGCTCTCGCCGGCGGGGGAGGATGCGGGGCGGCTCCCCAACGGCTCCAGGGGCCCGCGGGTCCGCCGGCCGCACCCGTGGCACCCCTGCCGCAGGCAGCCGGCCAGGGCCCTCGGTTCTGCTCCTGGGCCCCTTGGCCATCCTACACACTGGCTGGCTGTGGGACTCGCCCAGGAAGAGCTGCTCGGGTATCATCTCGTCCTCGGACTGGGCTTCTGTCTTGATGACCACGCTGCCACCGCCTGGAGAAAGGAATCTCCATTGACTTCAAGTGGGCCACAGTGGTGCCCACCGAGGCCACGCCACCCAGCCCCGGGCTCCAAGCACAGCCCTAGCCGGGTCAGCTCCGCCCTGCTCCCGTCTTCACGGAGCTCTTTCTCCTGCAAGCGCTCACAGCACACACATCAGGGACCCCGTTCCCTTGGTCCTACGGAGCAGGCACTGTCGCCTGAGCAGCCCCCCACTGGCTGTTTGCTGTCACACGGCCCATTCCTGGAGGCCAAGCTACGGACATCAGGAGAGAGGAGACGAAACCGCAAAACCAGAAGCCAGGGTGCCAGGGGTCAGAGGGCAGACAGAGTGAAAGCAAACAGGTGGGAGGATGTGGGGGGACCCTGCACCCTGAGATACATTGGCCGCACCGGTCCCCAGGAGTTCTGACGAGGTTAGTTCCCATCTGTGAATGACAGTGAGCCCTGGGGCCACTGGGGCAGGTAAGGAGCCTCGGGCCTGGAGGAGGCCAGCGTTTCAGCCACACTCCCAGCTGCTCATCCACGTAACAAATCTACCTGAGCATCCACTCCCTGTCTGGCACCTGCTCTCCGGGGACAGGTGGGAGGCACAAGGACCTCGGCTTCCTGGCTGGACCTCAGTGTGAGTCAGCACTTGACTCTGAGATGGGATTGAGGCTGGGAACTGCCAAGACAGAGGAGAGAGTGGGGGCTTGGAGGCAACACACGGGCCCTGGTGCTGGGAAGGAAGATCCCGGCCACAGGCCCTACCTGGAACACCGTGCACTCTTCGAGATCCTTCACTGCTGTTCCCCTCTGGGCTTTTCTGGAATCAGCCCCGACTGGTTTCTCTGACCTCTCCCCGAGCCCAGCAGCTCAGCTGCGGCAGCCCATGGTCTGTTCGAAGGCTGACAGTGAACCTTACCCTCTGCCTATTAGAACGGAACCTTTGGCCCCTCACGAGCGATTTCCAAGATCCAGAGCAAGAGGGAGTTCGCTTCTTGCTGAAGCATGAATTTAAATCCCACCCCAGGAGACTCCGCTAACTGCCAAACCTTCTAGACCAGCACCTGATGTCAAGACCTCGGGGTTCTTTGCTCAAGTGCAGCTGCCCAGCAACCCTCACAAATAACTCCGGACAAAACTTTGGTTTCTATGTTGGACATGACCCTGCCGTTTGTAATTTAGTCCTACAGCTACAGAATCAGTTAAGAGTCTCTAAGAAGCATCTGAACTTTGCATCTAAAGTGTTGCATTTAAGGGGCTACTGTGGTATTCCTAAACTTGGGGATTAGTGTGGGTCTCCGGCCCTATTCCATGTGAAGGCCAAGGTTCCCAGACCTCTTCATCTGAAGCCCATCTCCAGCTTGGACGCCCACCATGCCACAACCCCAAGGTGGGCCCACATCTCACCTCTGCCTCCCATCAAAGCAGGATGGGACCAGGTGAGAACTGGATCCCTTTCTCTCAGGGCAGAAAACCACCCCAAAGCTGGAATGGGCGATAATTGCTACATTTTTTCCTGCTCATCAGGGTGTAAGCCCGGTTTTGTGGCCTCTAGGTGGAGGACCTGAATTTAAATCGTAGACCACCGCATACAAACTGTGAGACATCGGAGACTGTGCGTTAGGACCATTCACAGGGTTGCCGTGAGGCCCTTCTGTCACCAGACCCCGAACCTGGTGCGCGCAGCCTGTGTTCGAGCAGCACCTTCCCACCAGGCCAGACATGATGGGGGAAGACCAGGACCTAGACAGTCGGGGTCACGAAGAGCCGTAGGGCAACAGGACCTGGGAATGAGGCAAGGACCCCTAGGAAGAAGCACCCTCCCGGGGCCCACTGCACCGCCTCCCACCCCACAGCCAAGGGCCCCTCCCGTCACTCACCTGGCCCCATGCCGGGCAGCCTCTCCCTGGGAGGGGATGCTGGAGACTCCCCACCTGAAAATTCTTGCTCCTGTTTAACCACGGCTGGAGGCCCTGTGCGAGAGACACTGTGAGGGCCCTTCCTGACACTGGGCTCGTGCAGGACGGCAGAGGCTCCAAACAGACCCCGGATATGCTCGAATGCCTGCTCTGTCCAGAGGACTGCCCGCTCCATGGCCTCTGCTTCGGAGGGGAGAGGAAAGCCGTGAAGGCCATGACCCTAGTTCCCATCTGGGCCAGCGCGGACAACTCCGTCACCCTCACGGACCATCGAAGGACAGAGGGTTTGGGGAGGCCCCTGGGGCCCGGTGTCAGGTCTGCAGGGGAGCAGGGACAAAGAGAAGGTCCTCTCTGCTTACACACTGGCTGGGCAGGAGGGCACGGGGAGAGAGGGAGGGTCACCCCCCCCACCCCAGGGAGCTCATAGTCACTGAAGGGAAAGCAACCCAGACTGAAAAGTCAGGCCCGAGGGAACAAGGAGGAAGGAGGAGGAAGGAGGAGGAAGAAGAGGAAGAGGGCAGGAGAAGGCAAGCTGGCAAAGCCATGCTGCAGGCAGACAGCAGGGCTCTGGAGTAAATGTGTGAGGCCAAATGCCCTCCGAGTTGTGCTCTATTTTGTGAAAGGATGGACAGGAACTTCCTTCACACACGAGCGAACAGAGAGCACTGGAAGGGGGGACGGAAGCCAGAGAGTCCCCCACAGGCCTCCAGAGAGAGGACATTTGCTGAGGAATGAATGCATGTGCCAGCACCGCGCTAGGCCCAGAACACAGACTGCCCGGTTAACGGGACCATTGCAGGAAGCCGGAGGAGGCCCGGTACCTGCCTTCATGCGCCCTTCTCCTCACTCCAGCCCAGCCAGAGGGCCTGGCCCCTAGCAGGCCTCAGGAACCCACACTTTTGCTCAGCCCATTTTCTCCTGCAAAAAACGCCCTTCGTTCCCAGCTAAAATCTACGCTTCCTCCTCTAAGGCCTGTCGCAGGGTCCCCTTCCCAGGAAGCCCGTCCAGCTCAGCCAAGCCTGGTGCCCGTCATCTGTCCCACCCTCACGCTTCAGCACGTTTCTCAGTAGCGCGTCTGGTCATGTGTCACGATGCTCTTTGCACAGCGGCCCGGTGGGCGGCCCTCACTCACCCGTGCTTGCTCCGGGTACGGTCACTCTCTTCTCGGAGTCTTGCCGGTGCCTGGGGACCTGCTCTTCTTTTGGTTCTTCCCGGGCAGGGCTGACGGGGATGTGCTCTGGACGTGGAGGTACGCCTGGAAAATGCAATTCAGTGACGCCAAGGACAACACAGAGATCCCTCCCGGTGGCAGGAGCCTGTGCCGCAGGGCCGCCTGCAGTCACCAGGACTGGGGGCATCGGGTCCAACACAGGCTAGGACATTTAAGTGGACGTCACGGATCGCTTGTGGCTAAAGGAGAAGGAAAAGATCCAGCACAGTAACGTCTGAGCGCACCAGACAAGTCGTGTGGCTTGTTCGGGCGTCCCGGCTCAGAACAACACAACAGTGGTTTCCGGGCCCAAGTCCTATACCACCCTGACGTATAGGGATGCCCCTGGAAGCACCCCAAGATTCTCATCGGTGGTTCTGGGTAGGCCTAGGAATTACGCATTTCTTGAAAAACACTTTATTGTATTTATTTTTAAGGATTTTACTTGAGAGACAGAGACACTGAGTGCATGCACACACAAGCAAGGGGAGGGGCAGAGAGAGAAGGAGAAGCAGCTTCCCCACTGAGCAGGGAGCCTGACATGGGGCTTGATCCTGAGGTCCTAGGATCATGATTCCAGCCAAAAGCAGATGCTTAACCAACTAAGTTACACAGGTGCCCCTGCAGTTTTGGTTTTTTTAAAGATTTAATATATCGGAGAGAGAGAGAGCACAAGCTCGAACATGAGTGGGGAGAGGGAGAGACAGAGGGGAGAGAGGCAGAGAGAAGCAGACTCCCTGCTGAGCACGGAGCCTGACATGGGACTCAATCCCAGGACCCTGAGATGATGACCCAGGCCAAAGTCAGATGCGAACGAGCCACCTGGGCGCCCATTAATCGCATTTTTAAAAAGGTTCTAGGTCAAAAGAGATGAACACAGAGTTCACAGAGTAAGAAATTTAAATGGCCCATAAATAAAAGGATACTCACCCCCCCTCATGTAAGAGAGGTATCATGAAAAATACACTGCTAATGGGGCGCCTGGGTGGCTCAGTCGTTAAGCATGGGTCTTCGGCTCAGGTCATGATCCCAGGGTCCTGAGATCGAGCCCTGCATCGGGCTCCCTGTTCAGTAGGGAGCCTGCTTCTCCCTCCCCTGCTATGCTTGCACACTCTCTCTGTCAAATCAGTAAATAAATCTTAAAAAAAAAACAACACTGTTGGGGCACCTGGATGGCTCAGTCAGTTGGGAGCCCCAGAATCGAGTCCCACATCAGCCTCCCCAATCAGCAGGGAGTCTGCTTCTCCCTCTGACCCTCCCCCATCTTGTGCTCTCTCTCTCTCTCAAATAAATAATATCTAAAAAAAACCCAACCAAACAAACAACTGTTGCCGGGGTGCCGAGGGGCTCAGTCATTTAAGCATCTGCCTTCAGCTCAAGTCATGATCCCAGGGTCCTGAGATCGAGCCCTGCATTGGGCTCCCTGCTCAATGGGGAGTCTGCTTCTCCCTCTCCCTCTGCCACCCCACCCCCTCATGCTCTCTCTCTCTCAAATAAATAAATGAAATCTTGGGGGGAAAAAAAAGGATTAAACACCATGACCAAGTAGAGTGTATTCCTGGAATGCAATGTTAGTTCAGCGTATGAAACAAAACCAACAGAACACACCATATTAACAGAATGAAGGGAAAACACCTCACGAAAACAGGGAAAACATCTCAGTTAATGCAGAAAAAGCATCTGACAAAATTCAACACCCTTCCATGATAAAACCATTCAAAAGACCAGACACAGAAACTATCTCAACATAATAAAAGCCATATATGAAAAACCAACAGTGAACAGCACATTCAATGGTCAAAGAATGAAAGCTTTTCCCCTAAGATCAGGAACAAGGCAAAATGTCCACTTTTACCACCCATTCAACAAAGGACTGGAAGCCCGGGCCAGAGCAAGTTAACAAGAAACAGAAATAAATAACATCCAAATTGGAGAGGAAGAAATAAAATGATCTCTTCAAAGATGAAATATGCAGAAAACCCTAAAGATTCCACAAAGAACTGTAGGGACTAGCAAATTAATTCAACAAAGTAGCAGGACAAAAGTCAATATACAAAAATTAGTATTTCTATACACTAATAACAAGCAATTTGAAAAGAAAATTAGAGAAACAATTCCACTTATAATAGTATCAAAAAGAATGAAAGCCTCAGGAATTATTTAACTGGGGCACCTGGGTGCCTCAGTGGGTTAAGCCTCTGCCTTTGGCTCAGGTCATGATCTCAGGGTCCTGGGATCAAGCCCTGCTTCGGGCTCTCTGTTCAGCAGGGAGCCTGCTGCTCCCCCTCTTTCTGCCTGCCGCTCTGCCTACTTGTGATCTCTGTTATTCTGCCAAATAAGTAAAATCTTTAAAAAAAAAAAAAAAAGGAACTATTTAACCAAGGAGGTGAAAGGCCTTTACAATGAAAACTACAAAACACTGCAGAAAGAAATTAAAGGCATAATAAGTAAATGGAAACATACCATGTTCATGGGTTGGAAGGCTTAATATTGTTTATATTAACTACCAAAGTGACCTACAGATTCAATGCAATCTCTATCAAAGTCTCAATGCCATTTTTTACAGAAAGAGAAAAACCCCATCCTAAAATTCATATGGAATCTCAAGGGACCCCAAAGAGTGAAAATAATATTAAGGAGGAAGAACAAAGTGGAAGGACTTCCTAATTTCAAAACTTACAAAGACACTGTAATCAAAACAGTGCGGTAGTACTAGCATCAATAGAATAAATAAACAGAACTAAGCCATAAACCTTCACATACCTAGTCAAGTGACATTTTAGGAGCATCCCAAGACCACTCAATGGGGAAAGGACAGTCTTTTCAACAAATGGTGCTGGGAAAACTGCATATCCACATGCAAAAGAATAAAAGTTGGATTTTTATCTAACTCCATATATAAAAAATCTAACTCAAATGAATCAAAGATCTAAATGTAAGAGCTAAAACACAAAACTCTTAGAAGAGAGGCGCCTGGGTGGCTCAATCAGTTGGGCATCTGTCTTCGGCTTAGGTCATGATCCTGGAGTCCTGGGATCGAGCCCCACATAGGGCTCCTTGCTTATCAGGGAGCCTGTTTCTCCCTCTCCCCCTGCACTGTCTCCCCCTGCACTGCGCTCTCTCACTCTCTGTCAAATAAATAAATAAATAAAATCTTTTTTAAAAAAATGATTATCTATAGGGACAAGGGAATAAGAATGGAAATAAGACTTTCCTGAATGCATCCTTTTAAACCATTCTGACTTTGCAAACATAACATGCCTTATGTATTCAAAACATTAAATGAAAAGGTAAAAAGAGCCATTTCTAAACACCTAAAAATAGGGCCACCTGTGTGGCTCAGTCAGTTAATCCTCTGCCTTCAGCTGGGGTCATGATCCCAAGGTCCTGGGATAAGCCCCATACTGGTCTCTCTGCTCAGCGGGAGGCCTGCTTCTCCCTCTCTCTCTCTCCCTCTGCTTGTGCTCCCTCCTTCCTATGTCTCTTTCTGTCAAATAAATAAAATCTTTAAAAAAATTTTTTTAAATCTTTTTAAAATAAATAAGTAATCTAAAAATAAATAGAAACAAGTGAACTTAACTGTGTATCAAGTTGGTGACATAACCCCATAGAGAAAATAATTATTTCAAGTGACTTTAAAAGGCATTACTTCGGGGCACCTGGGTGGCTCAGTTAGGCGTCTGCCTCTGGCTCAGGTCACTGTCCCAGGGTCCTGGGATTGAGCCCTGCATTGGGGTCCCTGCTCATCAGAAAGACTGCTTCTCCCTCTCCCATGCCCCCTGTTTGTGTTCCTTCTCTCACTGTGTCTCTGTCAAATGAATAAATAAAATCTTTAAAAAAATAAAATAAAATAAAAATAAAAGGCATTACTTTGTCTATAAGTCCTGAATGGAGTATGTTCAGAGGACAAAAAGAGCTGCAGAAAAATTTCAGCCTTCAATCGAAAGTCTAATTGTTTAAGATTTCCATGTAAAATAAAAGTGATATTCAAGTATAAGATCAAGAACATTACATTTGAATGAGAAATATCACTATGAACTCATGATATTTTCCTTTCCAAAAATACTTTTTTTTTTTAAAGATTTTATTTATCCACTTGACAGAGAGAGAGATCACAAGTAGGCAGCGAAGCAGTCAGAGAGAGAGGAGGAAGCAGGCTCCCTGCTGAGCAGAGAGCCCGACGCAGGGCTAGATTCCAGGACCCTGAGATCAGGACCCTAGTCGAAGGCAGAGGCTTAACCCACTGAGCCACCCAGGCACCCCCAAAATACATATTTTCTAGGGGCACCTGGGTGGCTCAGTGGGTTAAAGCCTCTGCTTTCGGCTCAGGTCATGATCCCAGGGTCCTGGGATGGAGTCCCGAGTCGGGCTCTCTGCTCGGCGGGGAGCCTGCTTCCCATCCCCCTCTCTCTGCCTGCCTCTCTGCCTACTTCTGATCTCTATCTGTCAAATAAATAAATAAAATCTTTAAAAAAAATACATATTTTCTTTCTTTTTTCTTTTTTTTTTTAAGTAGGCAGAAAGGCAGGCAGAGAGAGAGGAAGGGAAGCAGGTTCCCCTCTGAGCAGAGAGCCCGATGCGGGGCTCGATCCCAGGACCCTGGGATCATGACCTGAGCTGAAGGCAGAGGCTTTAACCCACTGAGCCACCCAGGTGCCCCCAAAAATACATATTTTCTAAAAAAAAAAAATTTTTTTCTGAAAAGGCCTAAAGTAATGCCAAAAATTAGCAATCATTAGCACTCATATTGAGGTATCCAAATATCATTTGCCACTGAATCAATACTCCTTGGAGAAATTTGTATTCCAGATCTGAGGCAGGAAATACATTAGATGATTCTAGAACATCTTATGGTATCTGAAAGCCACTGAAGTCACATCAAAATGACCTCACGGCCAACTTGAAAGGGCTCCCATGAGCTAAAGATGGGACAATTTAAGCACAAAAAATAATGGCTGCAAACGATTGGTATATATAAAATATTTAAAAGTCTCTGAAGTCATTAAAAAAAAGTCAGAAAAGGGGCGCCTGGGTGGCTCAGTGGGTTAAAGTCTCTGCCTTCGGCTCAGGTCATGATCCCGGCGTCCTGGGATCAGGCCCCGCATCGGGCTCTCTGCTCTGTGGAGAGCCTGCTTCCTCCTCTCTCTGCCTGCCTCCCTGCCTGCTTGTGAGCTCTCTTTCTGTCAAATAAATAAATAAAATCTTTAAAAAAAAAAAAAAAAAAGTCAGGAAAAAAAAATCCCAAGTACTGGTCACCTTTAAAGGCTCCTAAAGGAGTAACTTCACTGTGAAAACTTATAAAGATAAAGAATTAAGCTTCTATCCTGCCTCTTCTGTACAGACCCTATTTCAGGGTAACTAAGAGTTGATTAAGGAAAGTACTGTTTGTAAAAGAATTTCACCGATGCAGTGCCTAAGTATGACAGACTCTCACCATTTTGCAACCCTAATGGAATAACAAATCTGGGGAACAATGTTCAATGACCGGTAATCACCAGGTGAGAAGGTGATGGGGAGCTTTGTAACAGAAGACAGAGCCCAGGATCACCAGAAGGCACGAGGATGGAGCCTCGGTGCCTCGTGCCGTGGGCCTGGCAAGGAGTACACGCCACCACCTCTGAAGCCATGTGGCCCGTGAGGTTGAACCTGAACCCAAAGAAGCCTCCTGATTTACCAGTTTATAGGAAATGCAAGAAAGAGAAAAACAATAAATGACACCAAATCCAGAATACGGGAAATGATGGCATTTGAAATGATAAATGACTTTATGGCGCGCCTGGGTGGCTCAGTAGGTTAAGCCTCTGCCTTCAGCTCAGGTCATGATCTCGGGGTCCTGGGATCAAGCCCCGCATCACATCACGCTCTCTGCATGGTGGGGACTCTGCTTGGCCCTCTGCCTGCTGCTCCCCCTGCTTGTGTTCGCTCGCTCTCTCTCTGACAAATAAATAAAACCTTAAAAAAAAAAAAAGATAAATGACATTAGAATGTCAACAAGTAAATAATATTCAAGAGGGGGAGGGGAGGATGGGCATGAACTGAGGTGTCGAGAGACAGAAGGCAGCAACGTGTGTGCCCAGGGAGGCAGTGCCGCAGGCCACAAGGTGGGGAAGCCCGGAGCACGCGCCCAGTGACAGACGGCAGACACGAAAGGTCGCACACAGTAGGACTCCATTCACGTGAAATGTCCAGAACAGGCGAATCTAAGACACAAGAGGGCAGATGAGTAGTTGCCTCGGGCTGGGGAGCAGCAGGAGGGAAACAGGAAGTCAACACCACGGGGACAGGCTTCTCTTTGGCGGGCAAGGAAAGTTCCAGCTGTGGCAAGGGTACACAGCTATGAAGAAGGGTGAAAACACCGAGCTGTATACTCTAATCCGGGAACTGCCTGGGATGCTAACTTCATCTCAACAAGGCTGTTAAATTTGGGGCGGGAGGGGGGCTTTTTATAAATCGAAAGCAACAGGTGGACTTCGGTGTCCCCGCATCAGGACCCACCACCTATAGCAAACAGTTTTGAGACACTTGGGGAAAAGAGCACCGGGACGGGGGCAGATGTTCATCCGCTGCTTCCGACACTGGTAGGTCAGTTCCGCTCAGAGAGCGGGAAGAGACGGGGGAAGCCAACGCCCGGTCGCCGCCCCACACGGGTGACACTCACGAAGAGGTCTGGCACTCCTTCCTACCTCCATTTATTTTTTTAAATTTAACCTTTTAAAAAGATTCCCAGAAGACTCTGATATCAGAGTCAACTTGGGAACCGCACCGTCCCTTACCACACCAGCTGTGGGGACCAAGTCGGCCCTGGATGCCCCCCGGGGGGGCCGCGTCCACACAGGGAAGCCGTAGGTGACAGGCCTTACCCCTGCAGGCTCACGTCGAGCAGCAGAGGAGGAGGGGGCGAGCTAGAGGGCAGTAGGAGAGCTGCGGCTGCTCGCGGGGTCACTGGCGGCCCTAAGTCCCCGCTTACGTAGCGCTCGGCAAGTACAAGCCGGAGGGCTGCCGGGTCCCGGAGTCCTCACGACAACCACACAATGCCAGAACCGCTGGCCGCCCCGTTCAGAAGCCGAAACCCGGCGGCTCTAAGCTCCGCCCCCACCCCTGACTAGGCTGGCCTAGGACAGAGTGGGCCCCCCTTTGGGTTCAGGGCCTGTGCCCCTTCCTGGGCTCACGGCTCGTCCGCAAGCCCAGGAGAACAGTGTGGTCCACTCACTCCCCGTCTTGCCCCACTCACCAGGGCTTGGCCTCCTTGGCTGGGCTGCCTCCCTCCTACTTCCCTCCTCCTGGCCCCACGGGCCTCCAGCACAAGGCTCCTCTCCCCTCTCCATCCGGGTCAGGATGTCTGGTTTGGAGATGGCATAATCTGCACACGGAATGGAAGGAGAGCTAAGTCAGGCCTGGACACCTGCCCCCGCACCTGCCCGCAGAGCTGGAGACACATGGAGAACAGAAGTCAGTGCAAAGACGCAGACCGCTGGAGGCCGATCTGCGGACACAGACCCAGATCGCCACCTCCTTACCCAGGGACACCAGCGTCTCGTAGTTGCCCCGCATCACGTGCTTGTAGAGCTCCTTCTGCCACTCGTCCAGCTTGTCCCACTCCGGCTCAGAGAAATACACGGCCACGTCATCAAAGGTCACGGGCACCTGGAACCATAAGGGTCACGCACGCTCACCCACACACTTACGGGCACAGTCCCTCGGGCTGTCCCACCCCAGGGGCCCGAGGGCTACCTTGGGGGCCTCCCCCTTGCTGCCCGGGGGCAGGCGCAGGATCCAGAAATTTCGGTTTCTCAGCAGGTTCTCCATGTTCTCCAGCCGCCTCTGCAGCAGCCCGTACTCCTGCAGCAGGGTCCCCAGCACGGCCCACTTGCCCTCCAGCTGGTTCCCGAACTCCACGGCCGTCTTCTCGCAGTCCGCCAGCTTCTTCTCGGCCGTCCCCGCCCGCCCCTCCAGAGTCAGCAAGCGGGCCAGGCAGGAGTCCACCTTCTTCTCCAAGGCCTGGATGGCGGCCACCACCGTCCACAGTGTGATCTCCGTGGAGTACAGGTAAGAGTTCTTCTCCACAGCTGGTGGGGGTGACAGAGGAGGTGTCGAAGGGCTTTCGTCCTCTGTCTGCTTGTCCCTCTCTGGAGCCTGGCCACAAGAAGAGAAAGGGGAGATGGTCTCTGAATGACCCCATCTAATTGTGTACTTCAAAAAGCCTCACGATGACGCCTGACCTGGGAAGGCCCCAGCTGGGATCCTAAGGGCCAGTCAGGCAGGTGTCGGAGGTGGGCAGGGACATCAGTGAAGGCAGGAAACACTGGCTGGACCAAGGCGTTAGCAAGTGGAAAACGGGAGGAAACATACGGCCAAAGACAAAAGCATCTGCGGCTCTCAGGGGGCTTCCATCTTGGACCTTAGTCTCCTCCTCCTCCTCTGCAGACGAAGGGACAGGCCTGACAGCGCAGAGAACATGAGCTCTGCGGCCAGAGAGCCGGGGTCCAGGCAGCAAGCCCGCCGCTCCCACGCTGGCTGACTCTGGGCACCGTCTTTCCACACAGCTTTCAACTTCACTTCCACATCTAGAAAACGGTACTCACAGGAGATGATCGTGAGAATGAATGACCCAGTCTTTGTTGAAAGCACTTAGCCCAGTGTCTAGCACGTGGTACATACTCAACGCACGCAAGCCCCACGTGGATTCAGCTGAGACGGTAACAGTAAGGATGCGGACGATGCTGCTGTTGTTGGTTCTGGCTCAGGGACGTGGCAAGAAACGGATCCCCCTGGGCTTTTTTCCTCCACCTTTTTCATTCCACTGTCCTTCGGCACCTTGGAAAGAGCTTCCAGAGTGCCTCGACTCAGCCCAGTGCTGATGCACGGGTCGGAGCGTGTGCAACAGCCCAGTCCCAGGACCTGGTGCTAAAAGCCTTTTGGGGGGGCCTGGGTGTCTCAACTGGTTAAGCTTCAGCCTGCGGCTCAGGTCATGGTCCGAGTCCAGGGATCAAGGCCCGTGTGAGACTCCCTACTCAGCTGGGAGTCTGCTTCTCCCTCTCCTTTCTGCTTGTGCTCTCTCTTGCTATTTCTGTCTTTCTCAAATAAATAAATAAAATATTAAAAAGAAAAGAAGGCAGGTATGCATCTGCCTGGGTTCTGATTTGTCCACCCCCCCAACGTAAGTTCCCTGAGGGTGTGTGTGATTCACCATTGTATTCGCAGCTCCTAAAAGAGTGCTAGCTGCTGAATGAATGAATGACCCCACAATTAAACAACATTCATTCAGTAACAACTACTGGCCACCTGACTTTGTAAAGGGACCATGGGGGAATGCAGAAAAAATTATGTGGTTCTTCCTTCTCCAGGAGAAAAACTCTATAGAAGCAGAGTTGGGGGCAAATCATTCCTGTTTGTAAAGTTTCTCGGCAATCTCAGGCACTGTATGATGACAAAAGGAAAGGAGTAAACGGAAAGAAATGGTCAGAAAAAGTTCTGAGGGACTGGCCCAGGGCTAGGTGGGAGCTGGTGATGTCACCAATGAAGTTCCAGAAATGCCCTGGGGGCGTATTCCCCAGGGGACAGGGCCACAAACCACAGTATTCCCACCCCCTTTCTCTCCCTTGCACTCAGGGAATCCTAAGGGAAGCACACACCAAATTCATTAATTAAAGGAGTCGGAGTGGAAGTTCCTCCTTTCAAAGAAGCCACAAAAATCAAGGTTTCAAAAACTTCACTAAGAGGTATTAATAATAGTAGAAACCATTTACTGAGCTCTGTTTGCAAGGGATTTTCTGGTGTATCAAAACTAGCCAAAAGATTCTTTTCTCAGAATTGGGCATACTGCGCATTACCGGCCAACATTCTAAAATAATCCAAATAATCTAATCCAACATGCCAATCTGAGAAAAAATCTACCTACAGTCCCTCTCGTAAACAGCATTTGACACCTTTCTCTTCAGTAAATGTAGAACACCGGGTGCCTCCATGAGAGTGTAATCCCGAAGTTCTCGCCTAGACGTCGGGCTACAGTCTGACTCGGTGAGTGACCCTGGGCCAGTCCCTTCCCTGAGCCTCACACTCGCGCTGTCTGAACCGCGTGGGGCTGGGCGACAGTCGTCCCTGCGTGCCTCCGACCAGACAATGGACGGGGGTGGGGCGGGCAGGCGGGACACACAGCCAGCCGGCTTCAGGGCAAGGCCTGTCATCTGAAGTGCTGCTAGGAAGCAGGGCCTGTCCCCCAACGTCGGGGCCGCCCCGCCGCGCCCCGCAGGCCAGCCTGCCATTTGGGCCGCCCGCTCGGTCGACCCGAAAGCCCGGCCGGGACTCCAGACCCGGGGCGGCGGGGCGGACCGCGCTGGCGGGACGCGGCAGGCGCCAGCCTGGGCGGAGGCAGGAGGCCGCGCGGCGGGGCCGCTCCACGACTGCGGGGCGCAGACCCTCACGGCGGCGGCGGCGGCGGCGGCGGCCCCAGGCCGTCTGCGCGTCCGCCGGCCGAGGCGCTTACCCGGGCGGGCGCCGCTTCGGCCATGGCTGCTCGCGTCCCTCACTCGGCGGCTGTCCTCGGCCTGGCCTGGCGGGCCTGGCGCAGCGCGCAGGCGGCGACGGAGGCGGAGCGGAGCCGCCCAGCCTCGGAGCTGCTGCCGGGCGGCCGCGAGCTGCGTCCGAGCCACGTGCCCCGTCGGCCCTTTAAACAAGAGCTGCGCTCGCGGCCGGGCACGAGGGTGCGCACAGCGCCCCCTGCAGCCCGAAGGACCGCACGTCCGCGGCCCGCGGCCTTCCGCGCGCGCCCGCCGGCCCTCGCGGCCTCGGGGGTCCCGGGTACCGAGGCCGCCCGCCCACCCTGGCCTGGGCCGCGAGAGTGGACGCCGGCGCGGGCTCCCCGCAGACCCCGTGCAGGGGCAGCTCGGGCGGGGGGGGCCCAGGCGTGGCCCCTAGCCCCCCTCCAGGACGCTTGGGCCCCAGCGTCCCACTTGGGAGAATCGAGTCAGGGAGCTAGGAAGCAGCTGTGCAGGACGCTAAGAAAACGTGGGAGTTCCCGTGTCGGGGCGGGGAAGGGCTGGCCTTGCCGGGGAATCTGAAGTAGCTTTCCCGCCGTAACGCCTCTGAAGGACCCAAGTGACTCGGTGTGGGTATACACGCTGCGCCGGGCGGGGCTGGGGGGTAGGGTGGGACAGATTTTAGCACTACTTGTTGCGCGCCTGGGGGACTCAGTCGGTTCAGCGGCTGCCTTCGGCTCAGGTCGTGATCTCAGGGTCCTAGGATGGAGTCCCGCATCCGGCTCCCTGCTCAACAGGGAGCCTGCTTCTTCCTCTCCTCCCTGCTTGTGCTCTCTCTTTCCATCTCTCTCTCAAATAAATAAAATCACTAATTAATTTTCAAAAACCCACTTGTTTGGTTTTCCAGAACAAATAGTCTCTAGAAAAATTTATTTCATTAAAAAGAAAAAAATCTCTCTCTCCCTTCCCCAAATCCCCTTTTGGGAATCCTGCGTCTCCTCCTCCTTCCCAGGGGACCTACTTCCCCAGCAGACACTCTGCTCAGGGATGCTTCGCAGAGTCCCCTGGAGGCTTAGAAGGCTCAGTCTTCACCTGCCCGTCAGCCACCAGGCGGGGGTCTTCTGTACCTTCGGCTCCAGGCGGGGAGTACAGCAAGAATAATCCAACACTTAATTCGGACCCTCACACTTCTCTAATAAACCACTCAAGCTGGAACCCATCTTCCTGATCTGTAACCCAAGAGCCTTATTTTGGAAAACCAGAGTTAACCACTAAACATAAAGTAAAACGTGCTATATGCAGTTTAAGCTTTATCTTCTTTCCCACATTTCCCGTTCATCTTAGTCTCAGAGCCTAGAGCCTATAAACTCTTCCCAAGGGAAATTATTCTGCAGGTCTTTTTAGTATTTTCTCTTTTTGGAGGAAGGGGAGAAAATTATTTGCCCATATTTTTGATCCAAGCAAAGGCATGGTCAGCTGACATATAAGAAAGAAACTGATACCTTCTCCGAGTAAGGTGCACCCCTAGACTTTAGGGCAAGCTTAGGAAGTTTAGGAAATACAATCAATATGTAGATCATTCATTGTGGGGATCTCTGTTGAAATAACCCAACCTAATAACTTAACAAATGTGTGCTGAAAGCATCAAGAGCATCCTTAGGCCCTCAGGGGGGTTGATCAGACCAAAATATTAAGGATTATAAAATACTGGTAAGTTGGGGCGCCCGGGTGGCTCAGTGGGTTAAAGCCTCTGCCTTTGGCTCAGGTCATGATCTTGGGGTCCTGGGATCGAGCCCCACATCAGACTCTCTGCTCAGCGGGGAGCCTGCTTCCCCCCTCTCTCTGCCTGCCTCTCTGCCTACTTGTCATCTCTCTCTATCAAATAAATAATCTTTAAAAAATACTGGTAAGTTGTGAGCTTATAAGATTCAATGCCCATTGCAGAGAGTCTGGAAAATGGATGGGAGAGGGAGAAAACACTAGTATTTAATAAGCTCTGTTCAGGGAAGAGTGCTCTAATTTTCGCCACCTGTCTTGGATTTTCAGAAAGTTTCTGTAAGTCAGTGGTACTCAGATTTGAGTGTGCGTCACGCTTCCTGGTGTGCTGGTTACAACACAGACGGCTGGGCACCTGTATCAGAGCGTCCAGGTCTGAGGCTGGAGGGGGTGGCGGTGGCCAGAACTTGGACTTCTGACTAGTTCGAAGGTGCTGCTGATTCTTCTGGCATGGTGATCGCGCTGTGAGAAACACTCTGTTTATCAGGTTCCTACAGCTGCCTCCCATTTCCATGCTCTCATTTTATAAATATTTTAAACAAAAAGCGCAAAATCTTTACCCCATAATGTGGCTTGCTGAGCAGACCAGCCCGGGATAGCTCGAATATAAACTACAATTACCTCCATCCTTATTTACTAATGTTTCCTGTGTTTACTCTTTTTCTGGATGAGACCTCCCGAGCCTGAATACCTCCCAGGGAGCTGACACTGCATTTCCAAAGTGAAGGCGCAGAACCTGGAGGAACAAGGGTGGCTCCATCAAGGCACAGGCCACTGAAACAGCCCATCGCCATGCCTCTCCTGCAGAGGGGGTGTCATCATGCCTCTCCTGCAGAAGGGGGTGTCGTCATGCCTCTCCTGCAGAGGGGGTGTCGTCATTAGTCGAGGGCCCATGAACCACCATCTAGGGTCACTCAAGTGGGTTCAAGATGCTAAGGTACTGGTGTCCCCACCAGCACATCCCAGCCAAGAGACAGGGCAGCTTGAAGGGAGAATGCATAGGACACCCCTCCCCCAATTTCCAGGCATGTAAGTTAGATTCGGAAGCATTAGGAAGGGAAGTCTTAGCAGAGAAAGACCAGAAGTATAACCAAGTCCCCCTTCCTCCAAGGAGCTTTCCCGAATTCAGACAATACTGAGCTCCCTATTTGTGAATACCCATGATACATGTTCATTCAACAAATATGGTGAGTACGTGCAAAGCCCCAGTGTGCAGAGCTGTGGAGTCTGGTCCCTGTACGAAAATCATCACATCCTGTTGATTCCGCCTTGGTGGTCTTGTCCATCCAGCCTTGCCCATGGCTCTTTTCCCATGGCAGCTGCTCCCAGTCAAGCCCTCATTGGCTCTTCTGGGTCTCATTTAGAAACCTAACATCCCCCAGCCCCAACCAAAAGCAAACCAAAAAACCCACATGATAGAACTCTCATTAATGTTCCTAAATCATAGCTAGAATCAGGTCACCCTTTTGCTCAAAATCTCGGCTCCCCATTACTAACTCAATAAAATCCAAACTCCTTAGCCTGATCCCAACCCATCTTTCCAACCACATCACCCATTACCCCCCTTCTCACATCCTAACCTTCAGCCAAATCAAATGAATTACGTGTATATGGCCAGAGTGTCTTCTCTCTTCCTCTTGTAGCTCCAACTACAGTGTCCTTCTTCCCACCCTTAAAGATCCAGTTCAAACGTCACCTCTCTTAGTCTTCCCCAACACCTCACAACTAAACGTAATTGTTCTCTGAATTTCGACCTTTTTTTAGCCTTACTCGGGACATGTAATTTTCTAATTGAATTAGATTCCCTTAACGGCCTAAAAACCCAAGAGCAAGATCTCAGATTTAACCGTACACACCTCCACGGAACTTGCACGTGGGGGCTACTCAGAGACTTGTGTGTGAACACACACAGAATGGAATCTTGCGCTAGTCTGGGAATGGTTTATACAAACGTGCACAAGGGAGGAGACAGATTTTGATAGAATATAAATTTAACTAGGGCAAAGATCTGCTTTGTACACTTACTACACCAAGTATTTAAAACAGTGCCTAGGTATCAGGTGTTTTGTTTTTTTTTTAAAGGAATTGACATCTTTATTTATTTATTCATCTATATATTTTATCTTATTTATTTTTTAAAAGATTTTATTTATTTATTTGACAGACAGAAATCACAAGTAGGCAGAGAGGCAGGCAGAGAGAGAGGAGGAAGCAGGCTCCCCGCGGAGCAGAGAGCCCCATATGGGACTTGATCCCAGAACCCTGGGATCATGACCTGAGCTGAAGGCAGAGGCTTTAACCCACTGAGCCACCCAGGTGCCCCTCATCTATATATTTTAAAGATTTTATCTATTTGACAGAGAGAGAGAGAGATCACAAGTAGGCAGAGAGGCAGGCAGAGAGCGGGGGGAAGCAGGCTCCCTGCTGAACAGGGAGCCTGATGCGGGGCTCGATCCCAGGACCCCGGGATCATGACCGAGCCGAGCCGAAGGCAAAGGCTTAACCCACTGAGCCACCCAGGTGCCCCTGATTTAATCTTTCTAACCTGATCATCCCTGTCCTTCAGACAGCTCCATTTCCTGTTTCCTTCTCAGCACCTAAGAGAGCTTTTTTTTTTTTTTTAATATTTTATTTATTTGACAGAGATCACAAGTAGGCCGAGAGGCAGGCAGAGAAAGAGGGGGAAGCAGGCTCCCCGCGAAGCAGAGAGCCCGATGCGGGGCTCGATCCCAGGACTGAGAGACCATGAATTGAGCTGAAGGCAGAGGCCCAACCCAGTGAGCCACCCAGGCGCCCCCAGAGCTGACTTTTAAAGACATTTGAAGCAGAGAGAAGTTGATATTTTGTTCTCTCTCAAGAAGGTATTTCTGTGTACAGAGATTGACCTGGAGATCTGGTTAAAATCTCTAGATTCTGGGGGACCTGGGTGGCTCAGGTGGTTAAGCGTCTGCCTTCGGCTCAGGTCATGATCCCAGGGTCCTGGGATTGAGCCCAGCATCGGGCTCTCTGCTTAGGGAGGCTGCTTCCTCCTCTCTCTCTCTCCCCGCCTGCCTCTCTGCCTACTTGTGATCTCTGTCAAATAAATAAATAAAATCTTTAAAAAATTAAAAAATAAAAAATAAATCTTTAAAAAACTCTTCAGGGGCGTCTGGGTGGCTCAGTGGGTTAAAGCCTCTGCCTTCGGCTCGGGTCATGATCCCAGGGTCCTGGGATCGAGCCCCGCATCGGGCTCTCTGCTTCGCGGGGAGCCTGCTTCCCCCTCTTTCTCTGCCTGCCTCTCGGCCTACTTGTGATCTCTGTCTGTCAAATAAATAAATAAAATCTTTAAAAAAAATAAATTAAAAAAAATAAAAAACTCTTCAGATTCAGAGTCTGAATCTGCATTTCCACCAGGCTCCCAAGATATGCTGATGCTGCTGGCGCAGGGTCCACACTCTATGAAACAAGGACTCAGAATCCAGCCGGACCCGAAGTGCCTGATTGCGGTCAAGCAGAAGCAACAGTGCCCACGGCTGAGTGTGCGGGATCGGAAGCAAGACGGCCTGGGTTCGCAGCTGCCTCCGCCTGCTCCTTCACTTCTCAGAATGCTTCCCACATCTCGTGTGAGACAGTATAGTCATATCCACCACATAGGGCTGTATGAGGACTAAGTTCATTTTGAAAAGAATCCCTTGTGGGGTGCCTGGGTGGCTCAGTGGGTTAAAGCCTCTGCCTTTGGCTCAGGTCATGATCTCAGGGTCCTGGGATTGAGCCCCACATCGGGCTCTCAGCTCAGCACGGAACCTGCTTTCCGCCCCCACCACCCACCTGCCTCTCTGCCTACTTGTGATCTCTGTCAAATAAATAAATAAAATCTTTTAAAAATAAATAAAAATAAAAAGAATCCCTTGCAGAGTGCTCAGTACTAGCCGTTATTACTGCCCACCTGCCTAATGCAATTATCCTCCTGCCTCAAGGAAAACAACACTGCCAGAGAACCAGAATCCTAGCCTGTAACTTTCTCTCCCCACAATGCAAGACAGACGGGGCACAGTAAAACACTCAACTGGGGGGTGGGGGCGGGGGCGCCCGCAGGGCTCAGTCGGCGGGGCATCCAGCTCTTGGTTTTGGCTCAGGCCATGAGATGAGCCCTGGGGTGGGCTCCAGGCTAGGCACGGTGTCAGCTTCAGAGTCCTTCTCCCTCTTCCTTGGGTCCTTGCCCCACTCATGCTCTCTAAATACACACACACACATACACACATACCACTCCATCGGGATGTAAAAATAAGGATGGGGTATAGGGGAATCTGAGGCAAAAGCTTGAGGGTAGGAGACTACAGAAGGAATTCAGGAGAGTAGCTCCTTAGGGTTTCCCACATCTAGTGTAGCTGACACCTCAGCTGAGCACGGCTCCCGCCCAAGACTTCCCTCCACGTTCAGTTGCTCCACCAAGACCATCCCATTCGTTACCGCGACCCAAGTTTATTTTTATCTATTTATTTATTCCTTTTTATTCCCATATCCCACTCACTGCTCCCACAAGCAACTCTAAGGCCTTCAAGATGTAACTTTGGGTTTCTATGTGTTCTTTCTTGCCCAGTGTTTTGTTTTGTGTACATGCTTTTTGACTGTACATATACAGTACTGACATAGATCTCAATTAATCGCTTCCATCTTCCTACCCGGCACTGTATGTTTCTCTAAGCCAATATCCCTAAGGCCTACTCAGGAGTCCCCGGTGCACCCACCGTAGCTCACCCGCCCCGTCTTCCCACCATCTCCAACAACCAACAGCCAGACCGCCTGCAGCCCTCGACCACCACAGAGGGTCCCAAGACTACTCTCATACATGCTCTCTGCTCATCTGTTCTACATTTAAGTAACAATGCACGTCAGCCTGGGACCTCAGGCCTCTGTCACTGCTCCCCATCAGCCACCTCCTCCACCCTGGTATTCCTAACAAAGGGAGAAAAATATCCAACATGAGCTTTTTTTTTTTTTTTTTTTGCTAATAGCCAAGTTTTATTCTAAGCAACTATAAATCATCAAAGGGGACATTCACATAGGACCCAGGAGCCCACTCCCATCTCCCCAAACAACACAGGGGCAGGCATTCAACACTCCTGAGAAACAAGCAATTTTGTGCGTTTTTTCCACCACCTCTGGAATAGTCAATCCCAGAACTAATTTGGAAAATGTGTGATCTACACAACCCCGAGAAACAACTGGTGTAATAAGAACAAACTCCAACACCCACGGGAACAAGTCAGACAACCGTAAGTAACAAACAGTCTTCTGCCCTGGGCGGTGGCAGGACCCAGCGAGGACTATGACGGAAGAGGAAGGTTCTGGTGAGAAACCTGGCCTCCCGAGCAGCAGCAGCAGCGCGCTCTCAGCTGCGTCCCCGGGCTCTTCCTTCTCAGCAGGGGCAGGTGAGGTCTCCCCACTTTCCTCCTCTCACTCCTCTAGATTCGGTGACCCACGTGAGCAAGGACCCCCACAAGGAGGAGCTCAGCCCTCTGCCCCCAATCTCTGAACTAATTGTAGATGGGCTAAAAGAGCCCCATAAGCAAATCCCTCGTAGAGGGCAGGGCCAGTCCCCATGTTAGGAACGACTTCTACAATGCTGGAAATTTAAAAAAACAAGTGTCAGACTGTGTATTTTTAAATCAACTAAAATCTAATTCCAAAAAAGTTTCCTCAGAACAGGGTGAGCAGTCATTTAAATTACTTCTTCTACGTGTTTTTAACAAAGACACTACAAAAGAGGAGAGAGAAGGGGGTATGTCCCACAACTCCACACACCTGCTCGCCCCACTGGCCGACCCAACCTCTGGGAAGACCTGAAATGCTGGCACACGACCTGGAACCAGCCACCAGTGCCCGCAGGGTCAGAGAGCCAACCGCAGCCCACAAACAGCAGCCCCGACGGGAAAACCAGAGTCTTGCAGGTGCCAGAGACAACAAGCTCCACAGCAGGGTAGAGACAGCAGGGAGAGGAGCGGCCCCGGACTCCTCCTCTTCCACAGTTTCCAGGACAGCCTCTGGGCTTGGCCTGGTGCTTGGCCAACGGAAGGCAAATCAAAGCGACTCTCCTCAGGAAGCAGTCAGTCCCTGACTGTGCACAGTGTCTCTTCTGGGGGAACCAATGCCAGCCCCTTCTGCCCGCCCCCCCACCTGGACGGACAAGGGGCTGGCACCCTTAAAGCAGGCCATTGGGCCTTCCGGGCTCCAGGGCCAGCCCGCCCCGCTCCCGCTGATGGATCTTCTGGTGCTGCAGAAGGTGCTGCTTCTGGACAAAGCTCTTCTCGCACTCGGAGCAGCTGTAGGGCCGTTCGCCCGTGTGGATGCGCTGGTGCCGCACCAAATCCGACGGATGGCTGAAGCTCTTGCCACAGTAACCACAGATGAGGGAACTCCGGCTTTTCCTCCAAGGGATGTGGCCAGGCAGGGCCACCAGGCTGTTGGGCGAGAACCTCTCCTGGACACGGCGGCCAGCACTGGGCCCCTCCTGCAGGTGGCAGCGCTGGTGGGTCACGAGGCTCACCCTGCAGCTGAAGCTCCTCAGGCACACGTCGCACTGGTGCAGCCTCGCCCTCTTGGACGGGGGCTTCAGCTGCGGCCTGGGTCTACGGCTCTCCTCGGGCTCTGAGGCTGCATAAGGCCCCCACCCCGAGTGGGTCTGCAGGTGCGTAGCGAGCTGCTGCTCATAATGGAAGCTGACGTCGCACTCGGAGCATTCATAGGGGCCAGAAGCGTCCCTTTTCAGCTTTAGGCCCGGCCCGCATTCCTGACCCAGCTGCACCTGCCTACTGGGCTTCGGCTTCGGGAGGCAGCTCAGAGTTCTGCCACCGCTAGGGTCTCTACTTCCCTCAATGGGATCCTCCAGAGTAGCGTCCCTGGGGCCCGAATCCAAGAGGACAGAACCACCCTGACCACCCCAGAGTTCAGTATGCTCTGGGCTCAGGAAAGCCTGCTCTTCGGCAATGCCCGAGAACTCTCCAGGAAGATCCGCAGAGCCTTCCTGAGCGCACTGGATCTCCGGCTTGATCATCACCCCTTCTGCTGCCAAGAGAAAGACGACCAACAAGAAAGATCACGTTCTAGCACTTTCGGTTTCTTCAGAGCTAAACAAACACCTGTGAGTTTCACAAGAGCTCTAATCAAAGCACCCCACGATAAGGGCATTAGGACAATTTGGAGAATGAGACTGGGTTCTAAGACCAGAAAAACTAAACCCATTTTTTTTAGGACAATGTTATAAATAACAGTTCTCTAAGCTTGTCCATAAATCTGTATTCAATTCCTGTAAAAACATGGCAAAATATACTATAACTATACTAATTTAACAGTTCAAAATTTAAAAAGTGAACAATTAAAATAAAAAACAAACCCAACCACCCTTAAACCTAAAGTTTAAATATTCACGCATCCAGCCCCAGTCTTCCTGCACGTCTCCCCCCTCCCCATACCTGGCTTATAAATGCTCTGCCTGCCTCTCACCCCAGGCTTCACTCCTACGATCTGACCAACCCTATCCTCAGGCTCCAGCAGGTTTTCACTTGAGCTACTGCTCTGCTCTGTACGGGAGCGCAGATGTGAAGCAGGATCCATCACAACACGTACGGACTCCCCAGTGGTAAGAAATGAAGACACAGAGATGTTAGGTGAACTCATGAAACTCAGAAAGAAATCTAAAATAAGTAATACCAGATAGGCTGCTGATAACCAGAGTTCAGTAGTTTGGCAGTGGGAAAGCTCACTATAGGCCGCAGGGAGTGCAGGGATGGAATATTCTGGATCCACTCACCTGGGTGGACATCACCAGGGCCTTCCTCCTCCAAGTCGCCCAGCATCCCTGCACCCAATTCCGCTTCTTCTTCTGGCTGGCCAAGGACCTCTGGTATGGAATAGGCACAGTGTGAGCCCAGCAGACGGTACAAGCTCACCGCGCACTGTGCAGGTGCCGATGAACAAGGTGACCAATGTCAGGGGTTGATAATACAAGTTCCAAAGATTAAAAGGCTACTGTTCTTCCCACTTCCCCGCCAGTGGCAGCTTGAGACGACTAGAAAATTCGAGCTGATTCGAGAAATCTATTCAGTCAGCTGCTGCCTCCAACGGTCCTTCCTTAGCCACTGCGTTTCCGGCACTCAGGCTCCCCAGCCCACTCCCCTTCCCCGACCACCCTGCCCTCACGTGCACCCGGTCTCAAGGGCTGCTTCTTTTCAGCGTATTTAATTTCGTCCATGCTGACACGCTGCAAGGTGAGGTGGGCACCATTATCCCCAGCTGGGACAGACAAGGAAACCGCCACGAGCAGAGCACAGAACTCGGCCCAGGGTACACACTCCACTCCACCCCTTCTGCTTTCTCCCTCTCTGCTGCAGTCACACTGGCCTTTTTGACACTCCTCCATGGAGCTCAGTTTTAAAAGATTTTGTTGGAGGTGCCCGGGTGGCTCAGTCGGCTGAGTGTCCACTCTTGGTTTTGGCTCAGATCATGGTCTCAGGATTGTGGGGTCGAGCCCCACGTCAGGCTCTGCGCAGTCTGCTTATCCCTCTCTCTGTTCTTCCCCATGCTCGCTCTCTCTCCAATAAATAAATAAAATCTTAAAAAAAGAAAAAAACTCTACCAAAATCTACTTACTAATAACTAATATTTTATAAAGATGTATATCTATTTTTAAAAGATTTTATTTATTTGAGAGAAAGAGAGAATGAAAGAGAGAGCATGAGAGGGGAGAGGGCAGAGGGAGAAGCAGACTCCCCACCGAGCAGGGAGCCTGATAATGGGTCTTGATCCAGGGACTCCAGGATCATGACCTGAGCCAAAGGCAGTTGCTTAACCAACCCAGCCACCCAGCACCCCAAAGATGTTTATCTATTAACCAGCACTTCTAATTAACACACACACAAAAATAAAGTAAAAAACAAAAACTGAGCTCACAGGGACTGAATGTAATTCCACCCAAGGCCAAGAAAAATTTTTTGGTTAACCTGTACTGCCTGCCTCATCTCAGGTAACGAAAGGATTTCTTGCCAAACAGTTTTAAGTATTAAAAACCGGATGAGGAACCCTGCTCACATAACACTACAATACACATTACACTATAATGATGACATCTTTTAATAAATCTTATAATGAACTATGTGACCATAGAGAAGAAATACAAAATGCACAACACTAAGACCTTTCCAAGTCTTCATGAACCGAGGACCTAAAGACTCCCATTTCTTTTTTCTTATTTTTCAAATTTTTATTTAAATTCTAGTTAGGGGGTACCTGGGTGGCTCAGTGGATTAAAGCCTCTGCCTTCAGCTCAGGTCACGATCCCAGGGTCCTGGGATCGAGCCCCACATTGGGCTCTCTGCTCAGCAGAGAACCTGCTTCCCCCTCTCTCTCTGCCTGCCTCTCTGCCTACTTGTGATCTCTGTCAAATAAATAAATAAAATCTTTAAAAAACAAAACAAAACTTTAAATTCTAGTTAGTTAATGTATACTGTAATATTGTTTTCAGGAATAGAATTTAGTGATTTATCACTTGCATATGACACCCAGGGCTCATCACAAGTGCCCTCCTTAATGCCCATCACCACCTACCTATCCCCCTACCCATCTCCCTCCAGACCAAGAGAGGAGCCAAAGCCAACTAGTCAAGGGTGTAGTCTGAGTCACACGCTACTGGCCAGGGATGTGCAGACGTCTGCAAGAGAATTCTCGGGACGAACGTGCTACTTACTCAGAGAGACCAGAGTCTCGTAGTTGCTCTTCATCACGTTTCTGTAGAGCTCCTTCTGCCAGTCCTCCAGATTTTCCCACTCCTGCTCTGAGAAACAGACTCCATCATTTTCAAGTGACCTGGACACCTGAAATTACAAATATCGTAGCATGAGTGCCTCCTGTCATAGCCACAAAAGCAAAGCCAGCAACTTGAATCTTAAATAATAAAGGGTAGGGCTCCCCATTCGGGCTTTTAAAAAAAGATTTTATTTACTTATCTGACACAGAGAGAGACACAGTGAGAGAGGGTACACAAGCTGGGAGCCCAAATGTGGGTCTCAATCCCAGGACCCTGGGATCATGACCTGAGCCGAAGGCAGACGCTTAAAGACGCTTAACGACTGAGCCACCCAGGCGCCCTAGGCTAACTCTTAATTCCCAAGGGATCTACCTTGGGACCCTCTCCATTGCTGCCCGGGGGCAGCCTCAGGACCCAGAAGTTGCTGCTCCTCAGCAGGTTCTCCATGTTCTCCAGCCGCCTCTGCAGCAGCCCGTACTCCTGCAGCAGGGTCCCCAGCACGGCCCACTTGCCCTCCAGCTGGTTCCCGAACTCCACGGCCGTCTTCTCGCAGTCCGCCAGCTTCTTCTCGGCCGTCCCTGTCCGCCCCTCTAGGCTCTGTAGCCGGGCGGCCTGGGACTCCATCTTCTTCTCCACGGCCTGAATGGCGGCCACCACAGTCCAGAGAGAGAGCTCTGTGGTCTGCAAGTAAGAGCTTTTCTCTGTCGCTTGTGGGGGAGGTGTGGAAGAGGTCAAAGGTGTGGAGCGGCGTTTCCTCCTGTGCTGAATGAAGAATCAGACACAGGGCCAGTCAGTGTCACTTCCAAACATCAAGTAAAGAAAACAATGGGTCCAGTGGGTCCAAGAGTATTACAGCTACTTAGTTTCTACCTTTTTTTTTTTTAAAGACTTTGACAGAGAGAGAGACAGCAAGAGCAGGAATACAAGCAAGGTGAGCAGGAGAGAAGAGAAGCAGGCTTCCCGCCGAGCAGAGAGCCCGACCTGGGGCTCAATCCCAGGACCCTGGGATCATGACCTGAGCCAAAGGTAGACGCTCAATGACTGAGCCACTCAGGCGCCCCAAAAGTATGCTCTTTTACACTCTTTTACTATAGATTACACATACATGTACATTTTAACACTGAAAAGTACAAAGAAAAGTTATGTAAAATACAACCATTCAGAAATAACCTGTTAGAATTTTGAACTTTTTTTTTAAATCATTTAACTGGTTTTCCAAAGTTGAAATAATACTGTACATGTCTTATTACCCGCCCTTCACACCTGGCACAGTCTCTAAGACGACCAAGACACAATTACTCAGCAAGACCAATAAAGCTCAACTCATTTACCTTTGCACCCAAGCAGCTAGTACAGTGAATAACACCAACTAAATTTTTTTTTTTAGATTTTATTTTTTTGTCCGAGAGAGCGAGCGAGACAGCAAGCCATAAGCAGGGGGTGAGACAGGCAGAGGGAGAAGCAGGTTCCCCACTGAGCAAGGAGTCCAACGTGGGGCTGGATCCCAGGACCCCAGAATCATGACCTGAGCCGAAGCCAGATGTCTAACTGACTGAGCCACTCGGGCATCCCCAACTACATCCTTCGTAAATATTTACGGACATGATTTGACGAAGCCCGCTGACATTTCCTTACACGGCTCATTTTTTATGATCCAGCCCTGAGGAGGGAAATCACTACCGCTGAAGCTCAACATTACTAAAGCCACCATGGGGGGGGGGGGTGTCTCCTCAGTTTCCTCTGACCCTGAAGTACCACTGCATGTTCACTTCAGTCCTAGCCCCCAAAGCTTCATGATTTTATACGGCATACACTTTCTTCAAAGCCGCTTCTCTATCCACAAGAATAGACACTAAGTTGGGTGATGGACATTGGGGATGGCATGGGCTATGGTGAGTGCCATGAAGTGTGTAAGCCTGACGATTCACGTACCTGTACCCCTGGGGCAAATAATACATCATATATTAATTAAAAAAAAATAATAAGACACTAAGAGGAACCAGTTCTGAAAGAAGTGCTGGGGCCGGGACTTAGTGTCTAGAGAAACGGGACAAAACGAACCCAAGTGGCATGTAAATGAACACGTAAGCTTGGCCATGACCTATTCCAGTGACTCAACTCAGTTCATTACCGAACACGTGGGTTTAAAGCTTAACTGTCCCCCCTAAGAAGGATTTAAATATAAGTCTCATGTAAAAGATCATCCCTGTCCCGCTCTCACTGCTTGTGCTCCCTGGGTCTCTCTCTGTCAGTAACTACAAACAAAACAAGACAGAACATCAGACTGCTGGACAGACTCCTTTTATCCCATGTTCTGCTTTTCACTTCCAGTCACTCATCTCTAGCTCTTCGGAGCTGCCTCCTGCCTTTCTGCGGCTCAGCATTTTGTTGCTTGCTTCGCACAGGAAGGTGGGTCAGGATCTGAGCACTGAGCAAAACGCAGAAAAGAGGTGTGAAATCAAGCTGCTTCTTCTGTTTTGAACTACCTATTGAGATGGAAACAATTCAAATGTCCACTGACTGGTGATTCAATAAACAAACCACAGTCCATCCGTATGTTATAGGTTGAATTTTCTTTTCCCAAAAAGATATGTTGAAGTCCCAACGCCTAGGACCTCAGAATGTGATCTTATCTGGAGAAGAATCTTTACAGAGGTAATCAAGCTCAATGAGGTCATCAGATGGGCTCTAATCAAACACGATTTGGTGTCCTTATAAAATAGGGGAGAGGAGCACCTGGTGCTTGCGCAGCTCGGTCAGTTAATCTGCTGCCTTCAGCTCAGGTCATGATCCCAGGGTCCCGCTGTCCCAGGGTCCTGCTCAGCGGGGTCCTGCTTCTCCCTCTCCCTCTGCCTGCTGCCTCCCGTACTTGTGCACTCTCTCGTCAAATGAATAAATAAAATCTCTTAAAAAATAAAATAAAATAGGGGAGAGATCTGGACAGAGACAGATGTGTACTTAGTGCAGACTATATGAAGACATACGGGGAAAAGACAGCTACGTGACAACGGAGGCAGAGGTCGGAGTTCTGCTGCCACAAGCCAAGAAAATGCGTGGGGCCATCAGGAGCTATGAGAGAAGCTTGAAAGAGATTCTCCGTTGTGGCCCTCAGAAGGCCATCACGTCTGTGGACACGCTGATTTCAGACTTCCAGCCTCTAGAACTGTAGGACAGTACACTTCTCGTGTGTGAGCCCCTCAACGTGCAGTACTCTATTATAGCAGCCTTAAGGGTATTAATACGCCATACAATAAAATACTGTTATATTATTAACATAGTAATAATTAATGTGTTAAGCATGTTACATTGGCAATAAAAAGGGAACAAATTACTGATACACCTAACAATATCGATCCCCAAATTATGCTGCCGAAGAAGCCAGACATAAAATGCCGTCTACTCTATTCCATTTGCATAACACTCAGGAAAGGCAAAACTCTAGGGACAGAAAACAGATTAGTGGGGGCACCTGGGTAGCTCAGATGGTTAAGAGTCTGCCTTCAGCTAAAGTCATGACCCCAAGGTCCTGGAATCGAGCCCCATGTCTGGCTCCCTGCCCCGCTAGGAGTCTGCCTCTACCTCTCCCTGTTTGTGTGCTCCCTTTCTCTCTCAAATATATAAATAAAATCTTAAAAAACAAAAAACCAAACCAGATCAGTGTTTGCCAGGAGCTGGGGGTGGGGGAAGATTGAATGCAAAGGAAAGCTTTCTGGGATGATGGAAATATTCTGTGTTTTGGTAGTCTGATCATGGCACACATTTATCAAAACTAGCTCAACCGTGTGAATGAGTGAATGTTGCTGTAGGTGAATTATCTCAGTAAGCACGGCTTAGTATCAAGATAGAAAAAAACGTTAGCTGCCAGGAAAGATGCCATAAACAGTGTAAAAAAAACAAATGGGGGGGCACCTGGGTGGCTCAGTGGGTTAAAGCCTCTGCCTTCGGCTCAGGTCATGATCCCAGGGTCCTGGGATCGAGCCCCGCATCGGACTCTCTGCTCAGCGGGGAGACTGCTTCCTCCTCTCTCTCTGCCTGCCTCTCTGCCTACTTGTGATTTCTGTCAAATAAATTTAAAAAAAAACAAAAACAAAACAAAACAAATGGGGAGAGGATATTTATAAACAAAGTATAAAATGGAAAGAAAAAAAATAACCCCAAATAAACCTGCAAACTAAGTAATTATGAGAACAGAAATGCAGGCCGTCCAAGAAGCAGTTGGGAGCACAAATACAACCAAGGAAAACCGCTTTTCACCCACCAAGCTGCCCCACTTGAAAGAGGGATAAGGGGGACGCCTGGGTGGCTCAGTTGGTTAAGCAGCTGCCTTCGGCTCAGGTCATGATCCCGGCGTCCTGGGATCGAGTCCCACATCGGGCTCCTTGCTCATCAGGGAGCCTGCTTCTCCCTCTGCCTCTGCCTGCCATTCTGTCTGCCTGTGCTCGCTCTCTCTCCCTCTCTCTCTCTGACAAATAAATAAATAAAATCTTTAAAAAAAAAAAAAAAAGAAAGAGGGATAAGGAACTACAGAGATGAGTAGGATATAAAACTGGCATTTTTTTTTTTTAAGATTTTATTTATTTGACAGACAGAGATCACAAGGAGGCAGAGAGGCAGGCAGAGGTTTTAGCCCACTGAGCCACCCAGGTGCCCCCAAACTGGCACTTTTATTAACTTTCCTGGAAGGAATGAAAAATACTACAAACTTTATGGAAGGCAATCTCATAAAAGTCACTAAAAACCTTTTCACCTAGCAATCTCACTTCCAGGAATCTATTTTATAAAACAAAAGGCATTATTTACTGACATCCAAAATAAAAAATTAAGACGATTACTGGTAATATTCTTTGGAAAAGTCAAAGCTTGGAAATAATCTCCAGGTTTATTCATAAAGGAATGGTTAAATAAATTATGGCACAACCAAAAATGACACTATACTACCTTTAAAAATAATGACCTGTATTATGGTTTGGAAGAGTTTTCATCATACCATGCTAGTTAAAAATTCAACTTTTAGGGAAATCTATTTACTATGATTCCACTTTCTGAAAGAAGAGAAAATACATGAGCTTTTGTGTGTTTCAGCCCACAGAAAGGTCTGTGAATAGATTCGTGAAACTGAACTGGTAACAGGACTTACCTCAGGGAAATGAGAGGGAGAGATTTTCATCATTCCTTGTAAACTATTACTTGTTTGACTTCCTCAATAAACATGTATTTTTAAAATAATTTTCTTTTTACATAAATTCCACATGTAAGAGTATCCCTGATTGCAGTGAGAAATACAAAAAGTACACTTACATCCCCCACACTTCTGGAGTTTCTGGGGCAGTTCTGTTGGATCTCCTATCATACTATCAGATCAAGTCTAATACAATGGGCCTGCCACTACGGTCTGAAACCACCAGTAAGTATAAGACATGGTCCCTGTTGCTAAGACACCTTCAATCTGCTGGAGTAAAATACAAAATAAATAACATTCTAAAGTGGCATCTAAGGTGAACTAGACAATATTTAAGGTCACTTCCAACTCGGAGATACTATGACTTTTTAATACTGAATAGTAAAAAACAACTTCTATAATATGTAAGATACGGAAGGGAATGGTGACAAATCTCCATGAGCTACCACTCCGTTATCAAATATTGCTTCTGAAGTCCTCTGTATGACTCCCTATGTAACTACGATCCTGAATTTGGTTTTTCACTAGAAATTGTCTTTTTCATATTCTCACCAAATGCTTTTTTCCCAAAACATGTTTAGTTTTGCCGATCTTAGGACCTTACATAAATGGCATCCTTATTCCACAACACCTGAGAATATCCTACTGTTGCAGATGGCTATAATTAATTTTCACTTCTGCGTAACATTCCGCTGTGACAATACCACAACTTCCTTTTCAGTCCATTATTTATTTGCCCCCATCTTTGTCATTACAAGTAGTGCTACAACGAACAGGACTGTGCACGGCTGCTAGTACATATGGGCAAGTTTCCTGAGGGTACAGTCCTAGGAAGGAATTGTTGGTTAATAGGGTATATATACAACTTGAACTTCAGTAAATAATGCCAAATATTTTCTAAAGTGGTTGTACAAATTTCATTCCTGTCAGAAGTATTAAGTATTCTGGATGTTCCCCAACTATGTCAACACTTGCAACTGTCAGACTAAAATTTTGTCCCTCCAAGGAAGCCTGAAATGTAATCATGATTTCCATCTACTTGTTCTTTGATTACTAACAAGGATAAGGATCTTCTAAATATTTATTGGCCATTCAAATACCTTTCAGTGAACTACCTGCTCAAGTCTTTTATCTGTTCATCTTTTGAGGTCCCTTTCTTCCTTTCTATCTCAGAATTTCTCTGGTAATTCTGGATACTATTCTTTATCCACACTGTATGTGTTGCAAACACCTCCTCCTTATTTGTGCCTCATTTTAAAAATTCACTTCATTGGGGCGCCTAGGCAGCTCGGTCGGCTCAGGTGAGGGTCCCAGGGTCCTGGGATTGAGCCCTGCATGGGGCTCCTTGCTCAGTGGAGCCCTCTCCCCACCGCTCCCCCTGCTCGTGTGCACCGGCATTTGCTCGCTCACTGGCTGGCTATCTCTGTCAAATGAATAAATTTTTAAAAATCTTTAAAAAATTAAAAAAAAAACCAAAAATTCACTTTATTTTTTAATAAAAAAATTAATGTAGTTGAGTTTGATCAATTCCTTTATGGTTTGAACTTCTGTGTCAGGTGAGAAAAATATCGATAATCCAGAATATTGTCTTCTAAACACTCCATAGTTTTGCTTTCACATTTGAGTAACTCAACTAGAACTGATGTTTCTGTGTGGTGCAGGGCTCAATTTTCACATGGGAAATCAACAGATCTAATATATGATGAAAAATCCATCAATTTACCTGAAGATTTGTAATGCGATCTCTGTCATGAAACAAGCTTTCATACATAGCAAATCTGTCTCTGGCATTTCTAGTCTTGTTCTATGGGGTATTTTTTGTATTGCCTTACCAATATTAAAGTTTTAACAACCAAAGGTTTTTTAAAAATCATTATTGAGGGGCGCCTGGGTGGCTCAGTCGTTAAGCGTCTGCCTTTGGCTCAAGTCATGATCCCAGGGTCCTAGGATCAAGCCCTGCATCGGGCTCCCTGCTCAGTGGGGATCCTGCTTCTCCCTCTCCCACTCCCCATGCTTGTGTTCCCTCTCTCACTGTGTCTTCTATCAAATAAATAAATAAAATCTTAAAAAAAAAAAAAGGTATATCCTTAAAGTAGTAATTACTGATATTTGGTAAGACAAGTCCCACCTCCCTGTTTGATAGTATTATCTTAACTATAGTGGATGCTGGTATTCTTTACACACTTGAAAGTTCTCAAAGGGGCACCTGGGTGGCTCTGCCTTTGGCTCAGGTCATGATTCCAGGGTCGTGAGATCAAGCCCTGTTCAGGCTCCCTGCTCAGAGCAGAGCCTGCTTTTTCCTCTCCCTCTCCCCCTCTCACTAGCTCAACACATACGTGTGTGCAGTCTCTCTCAAATAAATATCTTTTAAAGTCTCATAAAAGTATCTTTAGAGACTCTGTCTACATCAAATCCATAGATAAATGTATCCATACACAGTTTGCCACTCCTCTTTTAAGGTATTTTTAGTATCTTTCAATATTTTAACATATTCCACTGATTACCACACAACAAATAATCCCAGTGTTTAATGGCTTAAGACAACATCTACTTTGCTCATGAATCTGCAATTCAAGAAGGGTTTGTGAGGAACAGTTTGTCTCTGCTCCACTCCATGTCAAGTGGAACAAATCACAGGCAGGCAGGCTCTGGAAAACACCTGAAAAATCCTAAACCACATGGAGAAAGCATATGGAGATATTCTGTTCAACAGCCCAACCTAAGGTCCCAGACAACAGTCAGCTGCCAGAACACACTTTCATTTCTAAAAGGGTTTTTGTTTTTTTTTTTTTTTTTTTTTAGATTTTATTTATTTGACAGAGAGATCACAAGTAGACAGAGAAAGCGGGGAAGCAGGCTCCTTGCTAAGCAGGGACCTCAATCCCAGGACCCTAAGACCATGACCTGAGCTGAAGGCAGAGGCTTAACCCACTGAGCCATCCAGGTGCCCCTAAAAGGGCTCTTTTGCTCTCTTCACTTTTTATTCATTAATCTCTCTATACAGGCATACCTCAGAGATATTGCAAATTTGGTTCCAGAACACCACAATAAAGCAAGTATCATAATAAAGCATGTAAAGTTAATTTTTTTGTTTCCCAGTGCATATAAATTTATACTACATTGTAGTTTATTAAGTGAACAATAGCATTATATCTAAAAAAATGTACATACCATAATTTAAAAATATTTTATTGCAAAAAAGAAAAAAAAGGCTAACCATCATCTAAGTTTTTAGCAAGCATAATTACGGGTCACAGAACATCGTAATAAATATAATAAGGAAAAGGTTTAAAATACTGTGAGAATTATCAAATTGTGACAGAGACACAAAATGAGCAGACGCTGTTGGAAAAATGGGAGCTGAGACTTGACACAGGGTTGCTACAAACTTTCAATTTGTAAAAAAGAAAGAAAGAAAGAAAGAAAGAAAGAAAGCACAGTATCTGCAAAGTATAATAAAGCAAAGCTCAATCAACGTGAGGTACGCCTATACACTGATATTATGTATTGACAGATATATGGACAAAAAAATCTTACCTGTGTCGTCCAAAAGCCACTAGAAACACACGGCTATTTAAACCCATATTAATTAAAACTGAATTAAAAATTCAGTTCCTCAGCCACGCTACTTACATTTCAAGTGCTTAATAGCCATAGATTTCTAGTGACTATATTGAACAGTAAAAAGCAGAATATTTCCATAATCTCTGAAAGTTCTACTGGATACAGCACACCTTAATTTTTTTTCTGCCTAAAAGAAACTAAGGTTTTGTTACAGTCTTCTACCATGCCAGTTTTCCTTGTAGTTCTGTTAATCTGCTTTATATATTTTGAGACTATATAATTACATGCAAAATACTAGAATGTCTTATCAAGCTGATAAAATGAGTCTCACCATTACAAAAGTAGTAGTAGCCTCGATCTCTAGCAGTATTAATACAGATGAACTAATTTTTTTGGTTCGTCTGGTATGTTTTCATATTCTTTTATGTTCAACCATTTCTGTAGCTTTGTCTTTTAGTTGTACCTCTTACAAACCATATAGTGACAACTCTGCCTTTTAACTGAACATTTAGTCCATTTACATTTATTGTAATTGTTGATCTATTTTTATTGATTTTTGCCCTTTTTTGGCCTTGTCTTTCTTGCCTTCTTTTAGGTGATTTTTTCCTTACTCTATTTCCCCTTCTAACTTTTAAATTTTACAGCCATTTCTAATGTTTTAGCAAGTATCCTAGATATTACAGGAAGCATACTTCTAACAACCTTGAAACAAAAGAATTCTGATCTCCTCTTCCTAACTTTTACACCAATGCTGCCATGTATTTTAATTTGCCTGTTTTTAACCTCGCAAGAGATTATTCCCGTTATAGTCAATCA